GAGACAGAAAGAGAGAGGGAGGAGTTATCATCAACGAAATTCCAATATTTGTAATAAGTATTTACCAACATCAATCTGTCTAAGAGGCTGGTGCAGAGCACGAGGTTCCTCCACCCTCTGCCGTTTAATTGGCCCATCTCCTGAAGAATTCCCAGCATCTTTTTCATCCTCATCATCCTCATCTTCACCTAGCTTGACAGAAGGTGCAGGTATTTTGGATTTCTGTTTCAGGCTGAATGCAAGTTTCCCACCTGAAGCAACTGTGGCAGTTTTCCGCGAAGAGTTAACTTTAAATTCCAAGCTTGGCTTACTAATGACGGCCTTCGGAGTTGAAGCTCCCAATATACTGGAGGTTGTCTTAGACTCTTTTGATGATGAACCCTTCAATTTCTCCTTTTCCTTCTCCTGTTGAAGCTGTTTGAACCTCTCCATGAAAGAACCATCGTTGACAAATAAGCTAGAATCTGTTGGCTTCTCCATTAGGAAAAAAACCAATTTTTTTCTTTTCTGCCAGCTGTAACTGCTCAACAAGCACTCTTACAATAGATTCAGATATTGAATGGGTTTTTTTTACTGTAAACAAATATTCAGATACTAAATGGTTTTGTTATCACTTCTTTCCTTAATGTTCTGTAAGTGAACATCACATTTACATTCCAAGTTGCATTCTCAAATCCATCGTTGAAATCAGAAAAGAAAATGTAGAATTCAATATAAAAGAAAAGGAAAGCAGGTTGTTCATTCCCCTGAGATTTTTTAGCATCAGCAACAAGACCGTGCAGGAGAGGGATTAGGTATGTTTGATAGACTGGAAAAGTAAACCAGGACAGGAAAGGTAAATTTTCCTCCGACCAGCTTATAGAAAGTCAAGGATCCCCTCCTGGACTTCTTAACACGTTAGTGAAGTCGTAGGACTCGGAAGATGTAGGCATATAGCTAAGCACGTTCTTCTTAATTTTAGATTATTATACTCGTTCAGGCAAAAACATATGCTAGAATGTTTGTTTTTCCTTTGTGTACTTCACATATCCAAAAAAAATGAAAGGCTTATAAGTTATAACTTTCTAGACATTCATATGGATGCAGATAGGAACTTAGACAAAGTACAAGTCCAATACTTATAATCCCTCAACCATACACGAATTCACCTTACCTTCAAAAGCTGTAATAGACAGTTTTAAATATCTCTTATAACTCCACATGTCAGATCATATTAAAAAATCAGCTGTTGCTCATCTACAGTTGCCTTGTAATCAATCAGTTATTCAACACCATAGCAGCAAAAACAATCAGGTAACGATTGCGAGTAATGTTACTTCCAACTCCTTCTTAAAGTGCTCACTTGGATCTGTCTGAAAAAAGTTTTTGGTTCTAAAAAGAAAATAAGGCTAGTAGAAGTTGAAGACATGTTTAGCTCGTTGTAGTTTTATAAGATTTGCTAGTGATTTGTTAGTGAATGACGATTTTTGGGTAAAAGAACTTCCTTCACAATTCTTCAACTACAACAAAAAAGAACCAAATTTTGCATAAAATGATATTTTCAATTTCTTCAATCAAACACAATCTTCCGAAAATGACTTCCACTTTTTACAACAACTTCCCAGGAAATCTCCACCCAAAATCCTTCCTAGATGGTACTATCTCTTTTTACCTTACTCTTTATGCAACAGTTGCTAATTTTTCGAGAACTGTAACAATGTATTAGTCATCAGCACGAAGGCTGTGCTGGCAGCCCATTTACAATTCCATATAGCAAAATTATGTCCTTGATCTTCTTTACGAGGACACTAGGAACTCTAGTAATGCTCCAGCTTAGTTCAAATAGGTTTCTTTAGACCAAAATAAAATACAACTCTGCAACAGATCATCCAGTCAATTCAAACCCAACCTAAACCCAATTATATGAAACAACTGAGCGTCTATACCTACTCATCCAGAAATAATCACACCATAAAAAAAGAAATACAGAAATCAACAGCAACAAGCAAACTTCCACAGATTGAAATACTAACAATTGATCAAGGAAAACGCATCATAACATCACATTAAAGCACAAACATCAAGAAATTTATAATTTCGATCAAATTAATTGAAACCCTATAGTCATCAACCCACAATCCAACAAACTAAGACTTCAACACACGCAATAAAATAAAAATCAAACATCTAGAGAATCGTACAAGAAATCCACACAAGTCAGAAAATCTAAACTGATAGAATTAAGAAGAAGAAAAAAAAACTAAGAAGCTCGAAGTGCTCAAACATCAGCCTCAATAAATCTACCTGCGGAATCGAGAATGAAAAGTGGATCCCGAAATCAGCAAGCGTAAACCGAATTGACTGAACAAAGCAATGAAATTGAAACCCTAAAGGAAGATCGAGAAGAGAAAAATAATTGGAGTATTTGGTAATGAATAATTTGGGGGAGAAAGCAACGTCCGTTAAACGAGCGGACGAGGAGGAGAGAACGCGTGACTTTGGGCGCTATAGCAATGAAAATTGGGGATTAATATGTTAAATAGTTTATTTTTGCTTTCTAGGTTGTGTATAGGTTGATTCGGTCCATTTTGATATTTATTAGTTTAATTTATAGATTATTAATTTATAAGCAAGCTAAACTGTTAAAGAACTATTAAGGTATTGACTTATGGATTGATGGTTATACAATTCACGACATACTTATAACTATAAGTACGCCACTCAACTTTTTTGTTTTGTATAATTCGCATGTTTGTATAGTTCAAAATTTATATAATTTTTGTATAATGTAATTTTCCATTATATAATTTGTATAAATGTGTACACTTAAGATGTTGTAATTGTATAGATTAGTTATTTCAAGTCTATACAAAAATAACTGAATTATAGAAACGTACTCACAAATTATATAAACTCACCCGCGAGTTATACAAAATCGTGAATTATGCAAACATCGCTATAATCCGTAGAGATGTAAACTATAGCTATGGAGCATAGTTTAGTTTATTATAATGACTATTTGCGAAAGTTTCCCTTAAAAGAATCCAAGTATAAGTCTCGTAGTTAATTTTTTTACCGAAATTTCAATTCATGACTACTTATAAAAAAGCATTTAACTCTGTTTGAATTATTGTTACCTATTGTTTCATAATGTACTATATGATATTGTACTCTATTTTATTGTACTGTATAATAGATATAATGTTTTGGCTAAACTATAATGTTTGTTGTTGTTTAACAATATTTTTATTGTTTGATTTATTTGTATTGTATTGTAATTTATAATTTTATTAAAATATCAATAATTATCTTATGGTAAGAGGTTTGACTAGAACTAAATAATAAAGGGTAAGAGTAAAATAGTATTATGAAATATTAAGGAATGATAAAATTGAAAAAAGAAATTAAGTAACAATAAGAATACACTAAATCGATTGTTTCATAAAAATGAAATTTCTCATTGTTACGTAACAATAAAATTTGACAATACAATACATTTTAAGTAATGATCAAAACAAACCTTAAAGGAATAATAACGATACAATACAATGTGTAACAATGATCCAAACAAAGTGTTAGTCTACTATAGATAAAATGAAAAAGAAAATCACACGAAATATTAAACCTTAAGATTATCTATATGTTCACTTTTTTCAACCTTTTAAATTTTGTTTATCCCTTCTACAATGACTATTTATTTATTAAAAATTAATATTTGAGGTTAATGTTCATTTGGTTCTTCAAAAATATCAAATAGTAATAGTTTCGAGAAGCAAAAGGATAAATTGCTAAAATCAAATTAAAAATGATTAATTGAGTTCAAATCAAAATACAGACTTGAAAGGAAAAACTTTTATCTTTTATTGGTAAGTCTGTGTTAATTAATAATATTTTGTGGAGTATTCTGATATACCTCTTATATGCAATGACACCTCCCAAATATGTCATTCAAGATTTACATAAATTGTTTGCTAAATTTCTATGGAACTCTAAGAAGGGCATAGCCTAATATTTGTATGCCTAAGGAGAAAGGTGGGTTGGGCTTTAGATCTCTTTTAAATGTGTCCAAAGCAATGTTTGTCAAGCTTTGATGGACTGTTTGAACTAAAAAATCAATGTGCACTGCATACATATGGAATAAATATTGTAAGAAACATAGACTTCAATTGGTAGAATAGAATGGAGGTTCTCAAACTTGGAATTTTATGTTAGAAGCCAGAGATTGTATTTACCAACAGATTTGGTGGGAACCAAAGTGTGGTCATTTCAGTGTATGGTTTGATTACTAAACACAATTGAGTGTTCTTTATTATGCTCTTTACTATTATCTACTTCTTTCTCATTTTAACAGTTTTGATGTAGATGAAGTAAATCAGTTGATGATTGAGCGACATTGGAATGAAGATTTCATGCTTCAATTACTATCAGAAGATGTCTATAAATATATACAGAATGTAACTGGAGTAGTAGAGGATACCGAAGAACAAGACTCACTAGCATGGATGTGTACTAACTCTGAAAAGTTTACGATAAGGAAATGATGAACAAGAAATCGCTGAGTTCTCTTTAAAATTTCTTTCTTTCTTTCTTAGGAGATTATTGAAAAAACATAGTGTTGTTGTAATAGTTTAATTTTGATTATCTTTTTGTGACTTGTCCTATGGCTAAGAAATAATGAAATAACTTTTGCAAGTATTGCTGATGTGTAGAGACCTTTTTTGCAGCTTAACGATACTATCATAAATGGAGTAAAGACTGCTCGTTAAATAATCTGATTTTGTTGTGTTTTTTTTTCTAATAAAAAGTTTCTGAGACCCACTTTAAATTAAAAAGTAGTATTTTTTATTTTAATGACGAATAAATATTAAATATTATTTTATAAATTTTGTGATATTAAATTTTTGTACAAAGCATCAATAATTTTTGCTTAGTTATCTATAAAAAATTAATATATTATTCATATTTATTTATTTTTTTTAAAATCTAACCTTCTTTTTCTTTCTAAAAAAACATTTTCCATATATGAAAACGCTCACAAAAGAAAAAGAGAGAAAATTTTTGTGCTTTTTCTTTGCGAAATAAAAAAAGAGACATCTTACTTAATTGATAATGGTGTGAGAGATAACATACACTGGCATTTGGAGTCGCCGGAGAGTGTTGCCGGAATGGAGCGAGCTGGGTTGAAAACCCTCAACACCGTAGTTTCACCTCTCCATTTCCGGGCAAAAGCTTCAATTTTCCGTCCACTTCTGTTACCCCAAGTGGTGCACAATCTCCATTTCCCTCTCTTATCTTCCTCTTCACGTTTATCTCCACTCCGCTCTCTATGTATGTTTATTCCTCTTTTTTCTGATTTGGGTTAATCTTAAATTTTGATAGTTTGAGCCCCAGCTTGTGTTTCGTGAAGATTGACATTCGCTTGCAGGTGTAAGAAGTGATGCTAGCACTATGCTTAATGGAGCTGGAGGTGTAGCAGCTCAGAATAAACTCCTGCAAGTTGTGTTAGTTTCTCCTCAGGTAGTGAACAATACATTTTTATTGTCTTTCTCGTTTAGCTTTGGACGTGCAATGAGATAGTTTTAGGATTGCATTGTGAAGATAACTAGAAAAAGAACTGGAATGCGTCATAGACAAAGTAAAAAACTATTAGTAGCAGGTATAAGTGGAATTAAGATCTTACACTCTCTTTTTATAACCTATAAAGAGTTAAGGTTCTTGACAAGCAACTCTTAAGTAGTTGGATACACCCCTCACAGTTATAATGAATTGAAATTGGAAATCTGTGACCATGAGTATGTTCCTGCCTACAAGGAAAGTTCAATATAATTTTTCCAATCAAATTGCTTACTTGTGCAATGTGGATTAGGCATTTCTTGATTTTTGGATGGGCTCGAATTCTGCAAATCGTTAGTGTAGTTTGTGCTAGAAGTAACGATAGTATTATCGCAATCTAATACATACTTTCCGTGAGTGTCTCATTCTGTTTTAGTGTCTCACTTCAAACCACACACACCCTAACTGATGCCAAAGTTTTTTTTTTCTTTTTTTGAGCAACCAAGAGGCTAAAAATATTCAGGTGCTGCAACCTTAAGTATCATAGTTTTGTTCTCTTGAGCTGCTTAGTTGGTTTTGCAACTGTTAACATGTTATTGATGCAAGGGATTGTTATATCTTATAATTATGGGTTGATACTGATCTAGAGGCTTGCCTTTTGGATTTAATCCAACAAAAGATTATTGTTTGTACGTATCTTAGGATGTCTGCTCAACTCTAAAGGGCTTTGGGATTGCAGTACGCGGTTACAATTGTTTGCTTTAAAGCTAGCACATATCTACTTTATTTCCTTCCTTTTGTGTAGGTTTGGGCTCTTCTCCAATCTGTCAGATTCCTTTGCTTTTCTTTGCCTGAGCTGAAATATGTCGCTATCTTTAACTTTCAAATGAAAAAAGAAGTGTGGTAAGAGGCAAAACTTTAGAAGCATGCTAGGGCTCCGGTCCTCCTGGAACTGTAATGTGTGCCTCATAGAAAGAACTATGGTAGTGGTTCCATTTAGTTCTGTTTTTTCTTGCAAGATCAATCCTTGTACTTTAGGAAAGTATCATTATTTTCTCATTTACTTAATAATATTTATGTTCAGCAAGGGCGGTATGCTGGGCTAGTTTGGTTTGAAGCTGGTTGCCCTCTCTTTGGTTTGGTGCATCTTGGGTTGGGGGGGATTTGGTTCATCCTTGCAAGTATTTTGTGTCTAAACTGGGTAGAAAGGGTGCTGTGACATCACTAGTTTTGATCATGTTACATGGTTGTATTTCCAATACAATATTTTGCAATCTTACCAATTAAAGGAAATTGTAGTCATGATTGCGGAAATGAGATGATGAAGATTAAATTTGGATTGTCCATTTCCTTTTTTCTGTTCTTCTTGTATTGGCCTAATCACAACTATTGATTGGTTCTGGTGTCTTGGCCTATTGACAACACATACATCATTAACTATAAACACATACTTTATTGTTAGTTGTAATCCATAGGCAGGTTGGAAATTGACTTAAACCTCTCAATACTCAACTTTCAATCATTTGAATGAAAAGCTCACTTGCCAATTCATGGAGCAATGAATTCAAGAGCAACAAAGTCTATCAATATTTCACTTTTTGACTCTGTGCTTTTATGATACTGTGTTTTTCCTTATCATTTTTGAATTTCAGTCTTCCAAGTCGATCATTGTCGGACAGCAATAAATCCTGGTAAAGATAGTTGATATTTCTAATATACTCTGCTAAAATCATTATGGTCTAGATTCTAGAATGTGTTCAATCATTGTGGTCTTAACTCAAGAATGCTGTTAATCATTGTGGTCTTAACTCAAGAATGCTGTTAATCATTGTGGTCTAGACTCTAGAATGCTGTTAATTTCATCTAGAGGGTAAGGTCTGGATACACCCACCCTCTCCAGACCGTACTTGTGGGTCCTTCCATATGTTATTGTTGTTGTTTACTTTTCTAATGACATTTTGAACTGAATTTGGGAATTTTCTTTGCTGGAAAATCTCAACTTAAATCAAGGGAACAATTTCTTTTGTATGTATAAATGACAAGAGATAAAGTGGATTTCAGAAGTTCTGTTCTCTGTAGTTGATGCTTGATTGCAAAAAATAGATGTTATTACGATGCTTAGTTTCAAGTGGCATGACTTCATATTGAAATGTCACCTACAGGATGTTCATATGTTCTTTTTACACGGGATTGTAGTTGTTCCTGTGGTGTATATGTAATTTGTTATCGGATAAAAAAAAGAAAGACATCTTGATGGTTACTATAGATAAATTACTGTGTGGCGTTCCTGATAAGAATCATAGAGTAAAATAAATAATGCAAGCACATTTTATTTTGTAGAAAATTGAGTTGTCTAGACTGTTCAGCCGTGCAGCTTTCGTCTAATATGTATTGTATCAGTAAAGATTTGAGTAAAAGTCCTGCATATATGGATATTTCAACCTGGATCAACAGTGAAATCCCAATTCATTGTGACTGTTGATAAAATCAAATAGAAAGCCCCAAGGGTGTCATATTCTAGGAGCCCAAACTATGTAATTTAATAGATCCTCTTGTGGGTCAAGGTCTTATTCTCTTTCCCTTTCTTGAAACTTTGATTCATATTTTTCATAGAGAAATCTCTAATCAAGGGTATCTCTTCTTGAGAACCAATATGGCTATTTCCTTGCAGTATTGTGCACAATTTCATACTGGGCTAATTTATTTTTTATTTAGATCTTGGCAAATGTCAAAATTTTAGAACGGGCTGGGTTTGTACCATCTAAGTATACAGATTCATTTTTGATAGGATATCGTGTGACCTAATTAACTTAGCTGGTTTGTCTTCCCCAAATTTTCCCTCTGTGTGGTATTTAAACTGGAGAAGGTGACAAAAACAGGTAGCATATGACTCCAGTGGCCAAGCATGTTGTCCTGACTTACCATCTTTTCAGTTTGTTTAATCCGTCTTGAGAAACTTTCGATTTCTTTCCTCTACCTTAACAAATTAAGGAAATTTCTCTTTCTCCCCAACCCCTCTGGCCCCGTCTTCCTTAGTTAATGAAGTTATTTTTCTAACTTAAAGAGTTTTCTTTTCTATTAATTATAAGTTTTTGATAGCCAGTGCTTTGATACAGTTTGAGGTTTGACAGTTTCCATTAGTTTGGTTCAGCAGGAGATAATGTATTTTTGTCTGCAATTTGTTACATAATGATGTTTCATAGGTAAATCATACAGCTTTAACATTCTACGCTATAGGATATTTACATTTCCTCTTTGATGGTGTGTTTATTACTTCATCTTCATAATAAGGGAAACTATCACATAAACATTAGAACACATACTTTTGGATTGAAAAACAACTTAAATGGTTATATTTCTTCTATTTCCCTGTACTGATAGATACCTGGAAACACTGGAAGCATAGCAAGAACTTGTGCAGCATCAGCTGTTGGACTGCACCTAGTTGAGGTATCAATACATATTTAAATATCTTAGTAACTTCTTGCATGGTGGTAGAATAGCTATTATTTTTTACTTGTAAAATCTATTTAGCTCCTATAACTGTGACATCAAGACTTGTATTCATAATTTTCTTTGCTTCTGCAGCCATTAGGATTTCCAATTGATAATACAAAGTTGAAGCGCGCTGGACTTGATTATTGGCCGTATCCTTTTAGCAGTTCACTGTTTTGAATTTTTATACTCTTTGGTCTAGGAGCGTGTTCCTCTGCGATGTACAGATATCTGAAACTCTTCATCATATTTTCTTGTTTTTTTCGTACTAATTGTTATGAAACCGTAGAATATCAAAAAAATGAACCTTGGGCCTAAGTCAACCTCAAAAGCTTGCTCATGCCGAGAGGGTTGTCCAAGACGATATATGGAGTCCATGTTCATTGTTCCCTCCCACAAACAATGTAGGACTCTGACAACCCCTGCACTCCCAGCACATCTGGATCGTGCACAATATAAGACCCCCAACATCAGGAATAATGAATTGGGATGAGCTCGATTCTGATACCATGATAAATGAGTTTGGGCCTAACTCAACCCCAAGAGCTAGAGTTAGGCCCAAGGTCCATTTAACATGGTACCAGAGCAAGACCCATCTCAATTCTTGTTTTCCGATGTTGGGCTCCTATATTAAATTGTTCGCACTCCGGATTTCCATCCCTGGGCATGAGGTGTGTGTGAAGAGTCCCACATCAGTTGTTTAGGGGATGAATGGTCTCTTTAATATGACTTCGACAATCCTCACCCCTTGAGCTAGTTTTGGGTTTGAGTCAAATTCGAAGTGCATTTTAACAATATTTTTGGGGGATAACAATTCTCAGCACTCATTGTTTGTCTGTTTTGCTGAATTCATCATTTCTTCGGCCAGTCAGTGTTTCAAATTTTGGAGTTCTCTATAATGCTCATATCTATGGACCTCTAAATTGTAAGTTGTCGATTTTCATAAAATTTTCAACTGTTAACTCTTCCCAACAGATATGTTGTTGTCAAAGTGCATCGGTCCTGGGATGAATTCAGGGAGTACTTCATGGGACAGGTCTCTTAAATACCCTATTCATATAGCTCCAAAACATTCAGATAACATAGACTTAAATTCCTTCTTCTTCCTTTTCTTCAGGCTGGGGAAAAGAGGCTGTTGGCATTTACAAAGAGAGGAATAGCTACACATTCCGTGAGTTTATATACTTTTTCTACTCATATAGTTCTCTCAGCTTTTAGCCTAGGAAATTTTTTGGCCAAATGAGACCAATTTATTCTGTTTGAATTGAAAGAAAACATAGAAATCCTCTTTTTGCTTTTTTTTTTTTTTGTTGTTGATAAAGAGATATGTTCTTTTTGCTGTCACTGTAAAATCTATGATGTTGGAACAAGGTAGACCTAAAATCATTGGAAGGAAGTTGTCTCCGAGGACCAACAGTTTCTTGAATCTGTGCAGACTTAGTGAAAGATAGGGCACAATGGAAGAATTAGATTTGTTCAGGATACATCTAGTAGCTGAGGATATATTTCAGTCATGTTAGCACCTTACGTCCTATGCTTTCAAGGAGCTGAGCTTTTCAGCAATTTACAGATCAGTAGAAAACATAAAGAACTTCTGGTGCCTTTTATTTTATATAATATAAGTCTAAGATGAGTTTAAATAGAGTAATATGGTAGGTGAGGATTCATATGTTACGCTTAATGCTGATGCTGCAGATTTTCCTCAAGTTTATCTGAGATAGGCTAAAGTACTTGGATGCAAGACTTATTTGAACTAAATTAGTTTTAGCCCAATTCTAAATTCTTTTTGGTGAGACCCTACAGATTTGATCAACCACCTCTTGCTGTTTCAATATTTCCAATCTCTTTCGTGTTCTAAGAATTTCAAATGATTTTGAGCATCTCAATTCAGTTTCTTTCTGCTTTACTTTTCCCTTTCTGTTTGCTTGCTTCCGTTCTTCAATTTTGACTCCAACAAGTTTGGAACTGAGTTATAGTTGATTGATTGTTGAGCATTTTACCAGGAAATACTTTAGCTGTTCTTTCCATACAAGAAATTGTAGTCTTCTCTTTCATGTTCTTTCCTTTTTTATTTGGTTTCTGAGGTTGGAGAAGTAGGAGGTGGAAGGCACCAAGGAAATTCTAATAGAACAAGGAATAGGTAGAAAACAAAACTCATTTGTTTAATGTTTCAAAGAATCTGGCTAAAGTGGAGTTCTTTTTGGCTCCGAAAGTATTTTTTATTTACAAGCCAAAGACTTTCCTCTAGTTTCTTCACAGTTCTTTCCAAGCATTGTTGCTTTTTCTCATCAACAGTTCTCTTGTCTAATGGAACACACTATGTTAATCAAAGGGGACTCATGCTGTCCACTACCTTTCATGATGAAAGCCGGATTAATATAGACAAACCTTTCCTTATATTGCGAATTTGGTTTAACTCTAGTATCATTGATGCAGGACTTCTCCTACAAAAAGGGCGATTGGCTTGTATTTGGGTCAGAAACTAAAGGGTTACCTCCTGAAGCCCTTCTTGATTGCAAGAGTGAATCTCTTGGAGGAGGAACCCTACGGATTCCCATGGTTGAAACATATGTTAGGTGCTTGAATTTATCAGTAAGTGTTGGTATTGCTGTATATGAAGCTTCTCGACAAATAAACTATGAACAACTTCAGTGTCCACCTGATACTTGTATGGATACCGAAACATCATTTGTTACTGAAGATATTTTTGCTTAAACTTATTCATATTGCACTTCTACAAATCCTATGTGCCTTACACAATGAAGCAGCAAACAGGAAAAGATCAACATATCTAGATCATAAGGTATTGATATCATAGTTATTGAGTTCTCACTCTTCTTGTGTTGCCATCTTCTGCACTGATATCTTTTTTAGATTCAAAATCTATCATTACTATTACTATATACATTGAGAAATGTCGTTTTCGTTGCTCAAAGGATGAATTAAAATCTCCAGGTTTTGCTAACATGGTGTTGGTATAAAATGTGAGAAATGAAAATGGCTAAACAGGATGAGTATATGAAAAGACCATTCTGGCATCTTCATGTGTATGCTTCTTGATACTTGCATGTGAGTGAGAGGGCAAAAAGCTAGCTGTTTCTATCAGACAACACAATTTCCATGTTCTCTTCAACAGTGAAAATGAAAGCACCACTCCAAAAAATCCCAAAAATGTGATGTTCTTTGGTCTAAAAAATCTCATTATTTGCATACAATGAAAATGGTTGTATTGTATTGTAATATATATAGTAAATTTTATCACCAACATTTCAAATCCTTTTTCCTCCTCGTTCTCCCCTTATTATTTCTGCTTAATAAGGAGTGTGTGATTTCGTAAATCAATGTATAGGCTCATGTGCCCATCTTATTAAGTGCGTCAGTCAATAGGTAGATATCATCTGTTTTCGATTTTTTTGACGGTTGACAAAAAGGAAATTCTTACCAATAAGATAAAAATTTAAGTAGTCAATCAATTATATTTGTGGTCCATTTAAATCCTTTACCACAACAAATTAGTTTTTTTGTTTTAATATATGTAAAATTAAGCTATTTCAAACTAAACTTTTGTGAAGGCAAGGAACAAATTAAAAAACAAATATATATAGTGAGACAAAATTGAACTATTTATAATGATATAATAAAAATATTTTTGGACCTTTCGCCCGTCCAAATCAATCAATTGGTACTATGCAGATAACAGTTAGTTACTATATATATAAACTCAAGCAAACTAAAAATATACTCCAAAGTCATGACTTTGTCTGCTTAATTTATGTACAAAAACAAATAATTTAAGGACAATCTCATGTGGAGCTAGCAAAGCAACAAATTAATGACCCCAAAATCCAGCTCAAATATCTGCATGATTTTCAGGTCAATTATTTTCAACAAATTAAGACTCATTTAATTTCTATTTGGACCCATTCATATGAATGAATTCAAGAATAGTCTTCCCTCTGTCGGTGGTTGTACACTTTTAATGCAATGGTACAACTTAATTTCTCCATACTAACTTATCTCAAGAATTAATTTAGAAAATCAACAGATAATTTGAGATTGAAGATGTAGTTTTCATCGTCTTTAATAATTTATCATATTATTAATTATTAGTAAGAAAAAAGAAAAAGGCTGAGGATTCCTTCAAAAATGCAAATGCTGAACAACAGTGAATCTTTGACAGTTAGCTGAATAAGTCTAAAAGGTTAAAAGAATAAAATAATTGAAGATAGTGCAATAGTTTAATTCTATTGCACATGAGCCAACGTGCCACAATATCTCATATAGTGTTGATATAGTCATATATAGATCATTGCTTTTTTCTTTTGTTTAAATAAAAACTTTTTTCATCAATTTCAGGATTTTCATATTTAAAATAATTATATGAAGAAAATAAGAAAATTCAATATCAGTTATATATTAAAAAAATATTAAAATGTTTTATGCCATAAACTCGGACACTCAAGAAATCTGCTAGACAGTCACGCATTCTAATTGGTGAGCTTATGCCGGCCATAGTCCCTTCCCTACTCTTAGTTTGCTTTAAAGGCATCATTTTCGTGAGTAAAAAAAACATGTGATTAACCGAATGATTTAATCTTATAGAGTACTCATTTTCCAATAGAAAGGATTTGAACTACTTGTTTCCTTAATTAAAATATATTTGTATAACAATTATTTTTTGCTATTTTTACTTATATAAGTAAATGTTAGAATTTTGATTATTATTAATAAATTAATTTTCTCATTATGTCAATTAGTTTCTTTGTAGTAGGGGCCTTTTTTTGTCAAAAGAAAATGAGCCAACACTTTAAGAAGGAAAATAAAATTTTAAAAGAACAAAAAGTGACCAAATAATAGATCCGAAAAACTTTATAAAACCAACATTATAAATTTGCTTCCAACTCTCTGCAATATAATACTGACCCCTCACGTGCCCCTCTTCTCTACTACGTACATGGACAACTATACTTTGTATTGTATTCTTTTTTATTAAAATTGCTTAATATATTCGAATCAAAATGAAGGAAGAAATAAAAATAAATAAATAATTAATTTTATTTTTGGATCTATATACATTTTAAAAAATATTTTGTTATTTGATTAATTAAATTTAAATACATCATTTCATCTTGCAACATGAAAAATATATCTTTAAATTCTCGCTAAATTTAGCATTTTCAATATTTTTCTTGAATTTTTATTAAGAGTAACTGTTTTTGTAAAAGTTTGAGATAGCGATATAACATATTGGAGATTATATTAAAATTTAATTAATCAATTAAAAAAATATGATTCAAAACAAAAATAATAATTCACCTTAAGTTTCAAAAATGTTTTTAATACTTTTATATTTCCTATATATAGATATAACCTCTCATCCTCTTTATACTACTCAGAAGAAACACTCTGTAAATAGAAAAATACAGAGTGATAGTACTGGATTTTGTTATAGAGAGAGGAGAAATGAGTCTCACCGGAGTAACATTGTTGGTCACACTCATGGTGGTGGCCGCCGTCACTTTACCGGCAAATGCCTGTCTGCCGGCGGACCAAGCAGCATTGATGGATATCAAAGCAGCTCTTAAGGAGCCATATTTGGGCATTTTCAACACATGGACCGGCAGCAACTGTTGCCAGGGCTGGCATGGTGTTAGTTGTGACCCGACTACTCAACGGGTTGCAGACATTGTTCTTCGGGGAGAATCCGAAGATCCGATTTACGAGAAAGCCGGCCGGTCTGGTTACATGACAGGTTCACTCTCCCCTTCTCTCTGCAAACTAGACAAGCTCACTACACTCATCGTCGCCGACTGGAAAGATATCTCCGGCGAAATTCCGGCTTGTGTCACTTCATTACCAGATCTCCGAATCCTTGAGCTCATCGGCAACAAAATCACCGGTCAAATACCGGAAAACATCGGTCAGCTGAGTAAACTCACTGTTCTAAACCTCGCCGATAATAAAATCTGCGGTTCAATTCCTGCCTCCATTGTCAACCTCGGAAAACTAAAGCACCTCGAACTCAGCAACAATCAACTCACCGGCGAAATCCCGTCCGATATCGGAAAACTCGGAATGATGAGCCGAGCACTACTCAACAAAAACAAACTTACAGGTTCAATCCCTAACTCAATCACTCAACTTCGCCGGTTAGCCGATCTAGATCTATCAATGAACCAAATCACCGGTTCACTCCCAGCTCAGCTCGGTTCAATGCCGGTTCTCTCCACTCTAAACCTCGATTCCAACCAAATCACCAGTTCAATCCCCACAAATCTACTTAGCAGCAGCGGATTAAACATCTTAAACTTAAGCAGAAACTTATTAGAAGGAGAATTACCAGATGTATTTTGCACAAAAACGTACTTCACACATCTGGATTTATCATACAATAATCTTCGAGGTTCAATTCCAAAATCATTATCATCAGCTAAGTTCATTGGTCATTTGGATTTAAGCCATAATCACCTTTGTGGCTCGATTCCAAACGGGTCACCCTTCGATCATCTAGAAGCTTCTTCTTTCTCTAATAATGATTGTTTGTGTGGATCGCCATTACGTACTTGTTAATTCTTTTTGTTTACTTACTAAGTTTGTAATTAATCGAAATTATCGGTTGATTACGCATAAATGGATATGTAATTGTGTATTATGTTGTGTCATGATAAAAAAAAAAAAAATCTTATTCTGTTTATATTAATTATTATTATTATTATTGCTAAGCAATATAAAGGGTTATGCGGTTGTATCATGCATGCACGTGAAAACGCGTGACAGTTTTACAAGAAAAATTATTGAAGAAATTGTGTGCTATTATTTATTTGTAAAATTGTAGTAATAAATTCTACAAAATTTTGATTACTCAATAATTAAATCTGGTTTTTCGAAATTGTATTTGTTTTTGTTTATTCTCTTTTTTAGCCAAACATTTTGCACACAAACAAACACTCAGAAAGAGTAATTAACACCTTGTAGAATGGTGTATTGTATTATTAGTTTAATATTAGAGAAAAAGAATAAATATATTTCTGAATAATCGCAAATGTTATGTGAATATCTTTCGTCATATTTTAAGGACATTGATGCATCTATCGTCTAAAAGCTAGAGCGTATATGTCCTTCACTATAACAGAAGACCAAATAGGAACACGTGACACAATCATATCCATCGATCTGATGTCGAATTGGTTAATAAGATTATGACATGTGAATATCCATTAGTATAAAGAGTATATATGCTCTAGTTTTTTTTACGACGGGGAGAGTAATACCCCTAAAGTACCAGAAGGAAATCGCATATCATTTACAATAGTTCAGATATATTTGTTTTTTTTTTCCTTAATATTATGTTTGTTTCAATGTTGATTAAATTTTATTTTATCATATCATTTTTATTTATTGTTAAGTAATTTGGTATAGTCACATTGTTATGTTTGATACTTTTTTCTTATCTTTATTTGTTATTCAATATATCTTTTTTATTTTTTATTATAACTTTTTATAGTAACTCTGTTAATACCTTACTTTTTATGTAAATTTATTATTTAAATTATTAACGTGATATTATGAAATAATAAAGAACAGTATGATCTATTTAAATTTTATATTTATTAATATAACAAAACATAATTCGATACAATAAAATACATTTATGAAGCAACATATGACAATTATTAATAATGTGAGGGACTGTACTTAAAGGTATATTATATATAGTGATTAATGAAATGGTAGGTGACTTTTTATATCTAATCTTAGTGAATATATTTCAGATGTAAGGTGCCAAATTTCTATTTTGTGCAAATATCTCAAGTTTATTTGGTCCGTCAAAAAATTGATCTGATGGGTTATCAAGAATTCAGTTATGGACAAAAAAAAAAGCAAAAGCAGAACCAAACAACAA